GAAGCCAATACCAGATGCGGGTGAAGATTGAGCTGGCCAACGAGCACAAGGAGTTTGTTAGTGGCAAGAAGAACGGAAAGATCAACAAGATCATGGGACAGAGTGAGTTTTACTAGACATTCCACATGTGACACGACGTTCTGACTCGCACTCAGGCAATGTCCAGATCATCTTCGATGGGTTCAACGAGTACAACTTCTATATCGACGTCTGCGGCAACCAGTATGAGTCAACCAAGAATGGCCTGGACTTGGTTGAGCAGGAGATGCCTGCATCGATCTCGTTCCACGTGCCTGACCAGTATCACAAGCGGATCATCGGAATTGGTGGACAGCATATCCAGCGCATCATGAAGAAGTACTCTGTCTTCGTGAAGTTCTCCAATGCCATGGACCGCGGCGGCATGGGCAAGGAGGATGATGACATCAAGGTTGACAACGTGATCTGTCGGACCCCTGCTCGCAACGCTCAGAGTCTGGACCTTGTCAAGCAGGAGATTATGGACATGGTCGAGAAAGTTGTAAGTGTTTACAGTGTCTACGGCTTTGATCTCGTGATAAGAAACTTACAATTTTCAGGATGCCGAATACGTCGCTGAGAGAGTCGTCATTAACCGCCTATACCATCGTGAGCTATTGGCCCGTATGACTGAGATCGAGGAGCTGGAGAAGAAATGGAACTGCAAGATTGAGTTCCCAAGCACTGAACTTGCCAGTGACGTTGTCACCATCTCCGGCCCTGAGTATCAGGTCCCCCAAGCGGTCGACGCATTACTTGGCATGGTGCCAGAGAGCCACGAGCTTCACTTCCAGAGCTCTGCCGAACTCCAGGACTACTTCAAGTGCTCTGATTTCCTCGCCGATGTTCGGACCAAGCTCAAGGAACAGTATGAGGTCGATATCAACGTGGATGTTGGTACCGATCTTCCTACTACCCACGAGGAAGGCTCCTCGTCTCCCACTCCCGGGCCTGAAGACCGTGTGGTCCTCGGATACACGCGCAACAACGCCGGTGGCTTGAAGGATGCAATTGACTTCCTGATTTCCCGTCTTGTTGCGCATGGACTCGACGCGAACACTGTCAAGGGTGCTATCCCGCGCCCCAAATCCGACTCGTTCGAAGAGTCGCTGCCATTCTTCGACTCGAAGCTACTGCAGCACGCCCCAGCGCCCCTCTCGACCGACTCGCCCACCCGGCCGAACTTTTCCGATGAGACCAGCGAACGAGGATCAATCTTCGAGCGCCTCCGTAAACCCGGAAGCATCTCGTCGTTCTCCTCGTTCATCGGCCGTAAGAATCATTCTGCCTCGCCGGGATCATTCTTCAAACATGCCTCGAGCAACGCCTCCAAGGCCTCACTCGTCTCCATGGAGTCGCGCGACAGCGGCTACCGCAATCCATGGAACGACTCTGGCGTGAACCTCCCCGAAGACGACGTGCACGTCCTGGGGAGCTCGCACAGCCACAAGAGCAGTACCAGCAATGGCTGGCCCACACGATTCGATGCCAAGTTCCCCTTCGGCACCGCGCCGGGTGACATGACGCCCAAGCATGACCCGCGCACCTCTTTTGATAGTGGTCGTCCTAGTACTTCCAATTCTACTTCTGGATACCCGGCCCCAATTGGGCCACCGCGTTAAAACCAAAATATCCATTTGCAGCAGTATACCCTTTTTTTGGTTGAGTTGTTTTTGTCTTGTTTTTTTTTCCCCCTCTGCTTTTATTCTCATTCCCAGCGTGTGTGTTTTTTTTTTCGGTTGTCTTTTTGTCGGTCTTCTTGTTGATTGATACCACGGAACGCAAGCAATGAAGGCGTCAGAAAAGAAAACGAGATATCCAAGATCTGCGATAGGGCAAGGATGGTCTTGACTATATCCTGTCTCTTTTTGTCTTTTTGTCTTTTTTTTATTTATTTATTTTGCGGTGCGCATTAGGAGGAAAGAGTTGGATAGTCTGAATTGATACCAGGGAGATCTGGCATCGACTTCAGAGGAGTTTTCCTATAAGTTGGGTTTTTTATGTTGATGTTTTTACTCTTTTGATATCCCCCAATCATCAATGAGATTTTGCCATTAGAAGACATTCTCCAATCTATGTTGTTTTTGAAGGATGCTATTGTTTGAGTACATATAAACATCATACATCACTTCCGACTGAGATCGACGCTCAATGTAGCGAGTGACGTTAGACGCGGGGTCGAAGGGGTCGAAGTTGACATCTACAAAGTACTTCCTTCTTCTCTCCCACAACTCCCAAGAGACCATAAACCCCTCCATTAAACTAAATAACTAAACTACCATAATCTCCAAAATGTCAACATCCTACCCCCGCCCGGACTTCCAACGCACCCCTCTAAACTGGACCACCCTAGACGGTCCCTGGACCTTCACCTTCGACGACAAAGACGAAGGCCTAACCTCGCAATGGCCCAAAACCAGCCTGAAAGGAAAACCCTCCCACCAGATAAATGTTCCATACGCATTCCAAACCCCAGCATCGGGTATAAACCTCATCGAAGCGCACGAGGTAATGTGGTACGAGCGACACATCACAGACATCCGCACAGCCGACGAAAAACAAAAAGGGAATAGACTTCTCCTCCGCTTTGGTGCTGTCGATTACGAGTGCTCTGTCTGGGTGGACGGTGTCCTTGTCGGCGGACATCGCGGCGGACATGTGCCATTCGATATAGATGTCTCTGACGCGCTGGCCGACGGCGCCGCGGAGGCTCGTCTCACTCTCCGCGTCAGAGACTCGCCTTATGACATGACCCAGCCGCGTGGAAAGCAGTTCTGGAAGCCTGTGCCCGAGAGTATCTTCTACACCCCCCAGCGGGGGTATCTGGCAATCTGTTTGGTTGGAGAGTGTTCCGGCCATGCGGTTGCTATGTGGAAGTGGAGGGACGGTGATTCGTTCTGATGATATTGAGCGAGGCCAGTTGCATGCGAAGGTTCATGTTGCCGGACGTCGGGTTGGAAGTGCGGCGAAGGTTGAGGTTGAGGTGGCGCTTGGAGGGCTGAGTGTTGCGAAGGTGGACGGAGAGCTGCTGCCGGATAAAACTTTTGTTGCGTTTGATTTGGGTCTAAAGGTTACTGAAGGTGCAGTGGGGCAGTTGAAGACACAGAACCCAGAGCTGTTTGGTGGTGACGGAATCTGGAGCCGGGGTGTTGCACTCTGGGCCCCGGAGCATCCTGTTCTCTATGATATTACGCTTCGGCTGTTTGATGGTGGTGGCGGCCTGGTTGACGAAGTCCAGACTACGACCGGAATGCGCAGTCTATCCTGGCAAAACGGTGATGGAACATTCCGACTGAACGGAAAGCCGTATTTCCAGATGCTCTTCCTGGACCAGGGATACTGGCCCGAAACGGGAATGACACCTCCTTCTTCAGTGGCATTGAAGACAGATATCGAGCTGGCGCAGAAACTCGGCTTCAATGGATGTCGCAAGCACCAGAAAGTCGAAGACCCACGATTCTACTACTGGGCAGACCGGATGGGCTTCCTCGTCTGGGGCGAGATGGCAAATGCCTACGAGTTCGACCCGGACTACATTAAGCGATTTACCAGCGAGTGGACCGAAGCCGTGAAGAGGGATATCAATCACCCATCGCTGGTCACCTGGACGCCACTTAATGAGTCGTGGGGCGTATCTGCGTTGAAGGACAATATCGAGCAGCGCAACCATGTTCGCGCTCTGTACTACTTGACCAAGTATGACCCATCCGGTGGCATTTCTAATGTGTCCACGCCACCAAGAGGAAATGGATCAACTAGCTAATGCAAAAATACAGGACCCTCGACCCTAGTAGACCAATCAACGACAACTGTGGCTGGGAACATGTCCAAACTGACCTAACAACCTTCCACGACTACAGCGACTCGGTAGACCTAGGCGCAGCATGTGCCACCATGACAGGGATCCTAGAATTGAAAGGTGGACACTCTGTTTTCACTAAACCGATATATTCTGGATTTTCCGGCACCGTGATCGTCGACAAAGGCGCCCAGCATACGCCTGGTGCGCCAGTGATCTGCAGTGAGTTTGGCGGGGTTAATATCGCACCGCCTAAGGACTCTGCTGCTGCCGGGGAGCGGGACTGGGGGTATACGACTGCGAGTGACCCGACGGACTTCTTGGTCCGATTTGAGAAGCTGGTTATGGCAGTTGTGAAGCCTGGACATATTTGTGGGCTCGTCTGGACTCAGCTGTATGTTGCATGCATCATTCTTGGTTTTGGGATTGGGATCCGGGAACTTCTGCTAATGTGTGTTTGCTTTTTCTGATCTAGATGTGATATTGAGCAGGAGGTGAATGGTCTGTATACCTATGATCGTAAGGAAAAGGTTCCCGCAGAGAAGGTGAAAGCGATTATGGATGCTGCCAGGGATCATTACTACCATCATCTCACATCGCATCACTCCAAGGGGTTTAGGAAGCTTCTGGATCAGTATAAGAATGTTGTGCATCGTTAGGGCTAGCATCTAACAATGGGGACATCCAGTGACATGATACCTTCGAGAATTTAGTTTCCCGCAAAAGGCCATCATGTTGGGTGATTCTTAATTTATAATGTTGAACGCCGAACTGCTACTGGATATACAATGAAGGTTATGGCGTTGATCAACTTTTAGACTGATAAATGAACATGTAGTGAAGATGTAGTTAGCGCTTTGTCGATACCCAAGCACTGGATAGATTTAAGACACAGCGATATCGCAAGATGGAAGTTCTCTGTGCTACTAGTCAAGACCCAAATTCAACATCATCAAGACATATATTATTGTCACTGGGCGCTAGAAGAAAAGATCCCATTAGGTGAAGACTATCGAGTATGATAGCTCAAAGATCAGGACGCTGGATGCTGTGCTCAAAAAGGAAAAAGAGGCCAAAACCCCATAAGAACGCCAGAGATGCCGAGACCCCATGCCGGGGGAAAAAATAGAAAGACACGTGCTAGATGAAAGGGGATGCAAAGTGCATATTACAGGTTGAAAAATCACATGTTAGCCAATTCCTGGTCGATCTGTCGGTCCAGGAAGGCTCGCTTTTCGCCCGTGAGCGAGGTTTGCAGGCGTTGTTCGACGAGAACGCGAACTATTGGGATACGGTTAGTGAACTGTAAAATTATCGTCGAGATAGAGTTGGAAACTTACCCTGTTTTTTGGTGACAGTATCTAGATCAACCTCGGCCAGACAGCCGCGAATTGCCTCGGTAATGGCACCCTCATCGGGACCACTGCCAGCACGGAAATCAAAGGCAGTGCTGGTGGGTCGAGAGAGGTACTGAGGCAGGGGGCTGCGAGAGCCAGTATTGCCGAGGAGGTTATCGCTGCTCTGCATCATACCGACGCTGTGTCTGCTGGCGGCCATCGGGTTGTCCTGGTAGGCGCTGAGGCCACCCATGGACATGTGCCGGGAAGCCTGCGCAGAGTGGCCACCCATATGAGCGCCCGCCTGTGGCATATCCGTGTAGCGGGAGAAGTTTGACATGTGCGAGTTGCGGTTGCCGGGCATGTTTCCGCCGACGAAGGGTGCAGGCGACTGTGGGGGCAGGTAGGGGTGGTGGCGGCCCTGGCCTGGGAATCCGGTGAGAATGGTGGAGGCTGGCTTGACAGATGAGTATTGCGAGTGCATGTCATCCATCTCCATAGCCATGTCGTCGTATCGGCCAGCAGCGTAGACCTTCTCTTGACTTGCGCTGAGGTCGCCGCGGCGGCCAGGGAGGTTATTGGCCATGGCGTAGTCATCCCATCGCTGGAGTGGAATGCTGCGTGGGTCGAAGGGCTCATCTTCCACGGCGATGACTCGCTTGTCGCCCTTCTCGCCGATGACAATACGGGTGGTACCCCATCCGAAATCGTCCTGTTTCCAGAAGGCATACAGCGGCAGGATGAAGTTGTAGATCGGGTATGCAAGAAGGTAGATGATCATCCATCCGATGTGTTGCCACTGCCGTTTGACAATGAAGATGATCGCCTGTAGACCATATACACCAGCCAGCATGATAATCGAGATCATAGGGAAGGGGCCCGTCTTGCTAGCAATTAAATAGATCAGGTAGGTGAGGTATACGCAGGTCGCGGGAAGGATGAGAGTTCCCACCAGATCCACGATAACGACGAAACGCATACTGAAACAGCAGAAACCGCAGAGATCTTCCAGGGCTGCCAGCTCCACGAGGTTGTGGATTGTGGAGTTGATCCAGCGGCGTCTCTGCGACATCAGCACACTCCAGGTCTCAGGGGCGGCTGTGCTTGCGTAGGCATCGGGAATAAACTTGTACGACATTGATGGGAAATGTTTAGTCATGATGGTTGTCAGGTACCGATCCTCACCAAGAGACAGGAGGTTCTTCTTGTGGAGGGTGTCAACATCATTGTCAGCGTAATCGTGAATGACTTTGTCTGAGATGATGAGAGGACGTCCTTTGTCCGCAGTTCGAAGGCGATACATGGTGAAACTAAAGACAGTTAGTATCAGTTTTATTCCGAGAGGAAAAGCTCATAGGGACTTACCATCCAGGAAGACAGGTAACACTACCGAAGAGTGACTCAAATGCCTTAGCCAGGTGATGCGAGATGTAGTACTCGTAAACCTGAATCATCGTCCACCAACTACGTTCCTCGTTCTGAAGACTAGTCTCGCCGCAAATACCGGCAATCTTGGCATCTGCTGCACACGCGGCAACTAAGCGATTTAGAGAATCCTCCCTGACAGTGGTATCTGCGTCGACCATGAGACAGTATTCATATAGCTCTGGATCTACACCGATGACGTTGTTGATTTGGTGGAACATTTCCAGTTCAAGGGGCGACATAGGTGAGCGATGGTGAACACGGTTCAAGAAATGCATGAGGAGGACCTGTGTGTCTCGCTTGCCACGATTGCCAGGTTTGGACTTGCGCTGCTCGGACTCCTTGCCAACTTTGACGACCACAATGTAAGGCACGACATTGCCTTCGTACTCATACAGTCCGGAGTAAACCTTGCCGTAGTTTAGCTGCTCACTTCCCTGGCCGAGTGATTTGCATGGCAGTGCCGGTGGGTCCATCTTAGGATCGACCCCGAGAATGTCCAGAATGATCTTGGGTGTGGGGCGGTCATTTCCACCACCAACAATCATACCATCACAGATGACAAATATCAGCTTTCTCTTGTTGTCGTACTGTAAGGCAGTAAGAGAATCAAGACCTTTCCGGAGATCATTTTCACCCTCAGTGTATGCAGGAACCATGCAGATGACAAACTTGTCCTGTGGCGTGGGCCGACGTTTGGATCCCAGCTGCAGAGCTGCCAGGAACTTGATTAGGATGACAGCGCAGATGAGAATGGTGAAGGTGAGCAGGATCCAGTTGTTGACCGTGCATCGTGGACTCTCACGGAAATCAACTTTGCCGACATAGAAGACAAAGTCGAGACATGTCTGGGCATTCCTGAAGTCCGTTGTGTCCGGCCATTTGTCCGTGACATCTTCACCCATGTTGTCCTTGAAGAGAGCAGTCACAGTCGACGGTAGCCAATTGTATTGGTCGAGATTGTTCATCCTTTTGAGTGTATGGAAGTAGTCGGTCAAGTCATACACCTTTTGATCCTTGATAACCCAGTAGCGAGAATCATCGTTGGCCTGCTTCTTGATGGTCTTTCTTGTCCAAACCACGTCACCCTTGTAGTATGTACCAATCTTTGGCAAGAATTTCTTTTCATACCAGTTATCCTCGTGGAGTGCCGTGGCGGGAGTTAATGACTGTGCCCCAGATTTGTGCTCGGCCGTGGGATACGCGATAGCATCTGTGTTGTTGTGTTGGAGGGCGAGCGTATCGGATGTAACAAATGGGGCACAATAACGGTTGAGAGGAGGGGGAAGTAGGCATCTAAAATCTGTCCTCCAAATTGCCGCATGTTGTCCGTGGTTGTGTCTTCCCCAGTTATGTCACTGTGCTGTGTCCGCCAGAACTTGCTGATGTCGTAGACACGGCCGTGGATGCCGACGAAGAAGTTATCGTCAGTTGTGTGCCAGCCGACCTCCCTCTCATTCCAGGCTTTGTCCTTGTTGGGACAGAGAAGGTCACCAAATGCAATGATATAGAAGCAGACGAGTGCGTTGAAGAATAGAATCAAAAACACAAGGACGAGCTTTTCTCGCCAGGCCAGGCGGACATCCGGCCGTTTCATACGGCCAACGTATCGAAGCACGAAGGAAGGAATCCAGAACGTCAGCGCCCAGACAAAACCAGTCCAGAGTCGACGGCCCCAGGATATGGTTTTCTTCTCAATGTGCTTCGGATCACCAAACTCAGGGTCGAATTCCCCGATGTAGCGGCCATATTCGTCGTAGTATGCGATGTCTCCTTTTTTATCGTCACCTTTCCGTCCCAAGCCGTAGTCACCGGCATTCGCAGCGTTGGTGAATGGCGCACTGGGGGGCAATGGACTTGGCACCGCCCATCACACTCGGGGCCATGGCACCACCAGGTGGCATGTTGAGAAGATTGGAATTTTCATGGATGGCAGTGCCATCTGGGGCGAAGCCGGGCTCGTACAGTGCAGGGCCGTACATAAATGGATTCACGTGAGTCTCTTCTGGCTTAAGATCCAGCATACTCTCCGCTTCCCACCATGCCCCCTCGCGCATCCACACGCGCTGTTCACCGACGACGGCATCGCCATTGCTCCAGCCTCTCTCGATGATCCAGTTCTCAACACCATCCTGGCCTTCGGCGCAACCGAGTCGCGCATACCGACCGACAAACTCTTCCACGTCGAAATCTGCGGTGAAATCGAGTTGCTTCAGTCGACGGTTGGCCCATTCTGGGAGTCGCCAGTCTCGCAATTGGCGGGAAACTGCACCCGCAGACCATGCTGTAGGTGCCGATGACGCGAGCTGCTCTGGCATGTCATCAGTTGGATGGAGGGAGAGGTGGTACCAGACACGGCTACTGTTGAGAGTGGTGGGAAGGTCGAATCGGCCGCGTTTTCCTACGGAGATACCTTCGGTTTCAACCGGGAAGAGAATGCGTCGGAGAAAGGCGTCAATCTCAAGTTCAACCCCAACCTTTTCCAGTACCCCCTGTCGCTTATCGAGATCGTGTTCCCGTTCTCGCCCGGCAAGGCCTGTGGTGATATTTAGGTCTGGTTCAACTTGGGCCACTGCAGTGTTCATTTCACTAATGACAGAAGCCCCAATGGGTGGGAGAGGAATTCCATCATCCTTCATTTCTGCATTGAGACCAAGACCATCATCAAAGATGCCTCTCATCATGATCGCTTTACCGAGAGCTGGTCGTGGAATATCGACTACAGTGAGGTTGACAGTGTCATCGTTTGACCATTGTGCTGCACCGCCCCCGTTGCTGGAATCATTTTCCAATGCAACCTGAATCTCAGCTGTGATGGCTTCGTTTGCTTTGCTGATGACCCAATCTACCAGAGCCTCGTAGATTCCGACGATTAACACTTCCCGTTCATCAGTGGAACATTTATGAAGCAAGATCTCTGGGTCAATTCCCAGAAGACCTCCAGCATCCTCACAGACTTCTTCTAGATCTTCCTGGTCCACCTCGAACCCAACTGAATTGCCGAGTTTAAGGAGACCAGCAAGGACGGATAGAAGACCTCGCTGAGCAGCACCTTTGATGCCAATAGCTTTCAAGGAAGCACGGAAATCTTCTGCTGCCGCAGCATCGTCGGCTGTGGGTAGATAATGTGGAGGATCATATGTATTTGATCGGTTGAGCAAGGTATATGCAGCCGGGTTTTTCAGGTCCAAAAATTCACGCTCCGCAGCCGTCGATGTAGAGGTGAGGAGATAGTAGAAGGCATCAAATGCACGGTAGCCGGTCTCAGGTTGAATTTCTAGAAGACCCTTGTGCACATTAATGCCGGAGGTGGACAAGGCGAAGGAGAGGCCAACGACAGACCCTTGCAAAGACAAAGTGTAGGTGGCGGCCAATGCCGAATGAAGAGAGTAGGATGGGTTGAATGAGGTAACTGCAGTGAGGAATGGCCGTAGAGCGGAGAGCGCGATCAGAGCTATCTCTGGTGTTTCCACCGGGATCGCCGTGATAAATGGTTCTAGCAGTGAGGGTGTGGATTGATGAAGAGCGCTATTCTATGTTAGTACTCATAATTTCCAGATACATGCACTTTCAAACATACCCTAGGACAACGCAGCCATCCTCGGCACGGCGTCGGGCATGTTCCCACGCTCTGATAGCTAGATCACGGTCGACCGTAGCGCCAGTTCGGCCATCAGGCAACGTAGTCGCTGCGGTCACCCATGTATTCACAACCAGAGTCGTGGCTGAGTCTAGTTGATATGGTTGACCTGCAGTATAAAAAGAATGGAGGGCATTCAATAATGTTGTCGTTGAGACCTGAGTTCCATGTTGTGGTCTGGGTCCGGCCGAGAGACCCGTGGACTGCGTGGAGAAGACCGAATAACGGTTCGACATGACGAACGTGAGGTCGGAGGGTCAACGATGTTAACGGCAAGATGCAATGTCCGGCCTGTTCGTTATCACAACCGCATGAGGGTACTCTCTCTCTCTCTCGTATTGGTCGCTTGTCTCGCTAAATGCACAGTGAGAGTTGGCGTGTAGAGGTTGTAAGAGAGTTGGATTTAGAGTAGGTCAGGGTTGGACGGTCAAGGATTTGGATAATTGAGCGAGCGACTGGAGATGCAACTCCTGAATGGGCAAGGAAGAAGACAAAACAACTGAGAAGAAGTTAGGCGTGGGGAGAAAGAAATCGATGGAGTTGAAAATTACGGGATGTGGAAAAATACCGTCGATCCTGACGATCGTTTTGATCTTTTGCAGTCTCGTACTTTAAGCTTTTGGCATTCTTTTTTTTGGGGGGTCTTAATGAGGAGGATAACCATTGCATACATACGGTTCTGTCTGATTTCTAATGTTAACATGGACCAGGTTTTATTTGAACTCTCTGTATTTTAATTTGAAGAGATGGGTTTTTTTCTCTTGTAATTTTGAAACCATGGCATGTTTGTTGTTCTTTCACCCTGATGAGCTTCTGCTTGATAAGTTTCAACCAATGAAAATGTATCAGATTGATAGGCCCCTGGGACCCGAGAACCCTGGTATTGTTGTATCTAAGTATTTAATGTATTAATAGTATGTATTAATAGTATGTTGTATGTTGGCATAGCACATGTGCACTATATTTGGGATGTCTCATGTCTCACATATATTTTTCTCTACCAGATGACTAGTTTCGCCACACAGTGTATGATCGGAGACTTGATCCACCGTGACACCTCTACTAGCTTGTTTACTGGTTTATTCATTGTCGCGAGAATGTCGGACCACTTTATCTTCTTAGACCGAACCCCCTAGTTTCAGGCCTTTATCCATTGTATTCTGGCCCATATTCTAGCTCCTATTCTGGCTCATATTTATTTTAGAGTTTTTGATATGTCCCTTGCAAGGAGGTCAATATTGTTCAAAATAGTAACTTGACATGTTCCAGAGACTTGGATCCTGTACCGACTATGTATATACATCGTAGTACAAAGTTACTCCGTACGGAGTACATGTGTGTAGCTCTGGAACTAACTAGTTAGTTAACAGCTGGAGTGGAGATCTCTCAATATGAGACTAAAGACTAATATACGGAGTATATTAAAAAGAAAAGATTCAGTAACTGGGTCTTTCTGATCCCTGTATTTTGTTTCTATTTTGTTTCTATTTTGTTTTCTCCTTTACTACCTTGTATTCCATAGTTCCAACTCTTATATCTCTTGACTCTTGCATGTCTCTCAAATATTATTATTGTGGGAACGTTATCAGCTCTACTCCGTAGTGGATTCCACCCGAGACACATCCAATGAAGCCGAACCCAATCAAATTATCCCAATAATCCCCAAATAGACCCTGTTTAATCGTATGCCCGAGGTTCACCTATTCTTAGCGACCGAGCTAGTAATTTGTGTTGTATGATACAATACACAACCCCCCGACCTCTTATCGATTTGTTGCTTTTTTTCCGTTTGTGATCTTGCATTCTGGGCTTCTGATTTTCTGCTTCTGCTTTTGCTTCTGCATCGATTCTTGTGTCTCTCACTCGTTCGCCCTATACTCTCGCCATTGCACCCAAATTCATCGAATCTTTGCCCCCCCTCAGCACCCCGATGCGTGCCATCTCGGTCTGTTGCTAGGGGTCTTTATTCCGCCAAGTCTACCAGGAATTCCTGTTCGTCTTCGCTCAACGTTCGTTCCACTGTTGCGAGGCTTCCTAAGCCACTCGCTCCGTCAATACTTGACGTCCCGGTTGCCCCTCATACGCTCGTTCACGCCCTCAGATTTCAACTGAGAGGATCCAAATATGGTCAACACCTTCGCTGGGAGTGGCCCGGCACACGCTCAGCCCTCACTCCCCCTCATTGCCCGCCCACCTGCAGTCTGATACACATCTCACAGCACATCTCGCCAGTCGGTATGGAGATCGCCGACCCTGTTGATGAGTACAATATCGGTATAGCTAACGTGTGTCTTAGGTTTCATGTTGGATTGCCAACAGCCCACCTGTCATCTCAGGCCCTCATTGCTCTGAATACATATTCGTCGGCGACCAAAGGACCCGATGGCGGAAAAGAGGGAAGTGCTGCGGGCGAGGCGGAAGACCTCGCGCGCCGCGCCTTCACTCGTCTGGGTGCGCGCGCTGAGAACCAAGCCGTTGTGTTCTTGTAAGTTGAATCAACTCTCTATATGAAGCCTACATCTAACCTTTGATTAAAGAGGAGAGAGTGGATCTGGAAAAACGACCATCCGCTCACACTTGCTGTCTTCGTTCTTATCCTTCTCATCGACCCCTCTCTCCTCTAAACTCTCATATGCCGCCTTTGTATTCGATACTCTCACAACCACCAAATCGGTCACCACACCGACCGCCTCAAAAGCTGGTCTCTTCCTTGAGCTTCAATATGATGGATCATCTTCCGTGAATCCCACCTTGATCGGTGGTAAGATCATTGACTACCGATTGGAGCGAAGCCGCATCTCTTCGGTACCTACGGGAGAGCGAAGCTTCCACGCGCTGTACTATTTGCTAGCTGGAACAAGCGCGCAAGAAAAGGCACACCTGGGATTTGAGAATAGCATCCATGTTCAAACTGGTAGCAGGCTGTCTGGTGGAACTGTTAGCCACAAACGCTGGCGCTATCTCGGCCATCCAACTCAGCTGAAGGTGGGAATCAATGATACGGAGGGCTTCCAGCATTTCAAAACCGCGCTGCGGAAGTTGGAATTCTCCCGAGGGGAAATTGCCGAGATTTGCCAAATCCTGGCCAGTATCCTTCACATTGGACAACTCGAATTCGCCATGGGTCAGTCTACTACCACCGGCGCGGAAGAAAGTGGAGGCTATTCTCACGAGGGTGGTGAGAGTGTGACGGTGGTAAAGAATAAGGAGGTCCTCGATAATGTCGCCGCGTTCTTGGGTCTCAGTGTTGATGCTCTGGAAAATAGCCTTGGTTACCGGACGAAGACGATCCACCGCGAGCGGGTGACGGTCATGCTCGACCCGAAGGGAGCGCGAGAGAATGCTGATGCATTTGCTCGTAATATTTATTCTCTCTTAGTGACCTACGTCATTGAAACCGTGAACCAAAGGCTCTGTGCAGCCGAAGACAGTGTCGCCAATACCATCTCCATTGTTGATTTCCCCGGTTTTGCTCAAGCCCCTTCCACGGGGTCTACCCTCGATCAGCTTCTCAGCAATGCCGCAACTGAATCGCTCTACAACTACTGCCTCCAGTCGTTTTTCGACCACAAAGCAGATGTCCTGGACCGCGAGGAGATCACAGTAGCTGCGACAAGCTACTTTGATAACACGGATACCGTGCGTGGTCTGCTAAAGCATGGCAACGGTCTGTTGAGCATCTTGGATGACCAAACCCGTCGTGGAAGATCCGATGCACAGTTCCTGGACAGCGTGCGAAAGCGCTTCGAGAACAAGAACCCCGCCATCTCTGTGGGTGGTACCAGTGGATCAGGTGGCTACATGTCTCAGACCCGGAGTGCGTTCACCGTCAAGCATTTTGCCGGCGAGGTGGACTACTCTACCACCGGCCTACTTGAGGAGAATGGGGAGGTTATCTCTGGAGATTTGATGAACTTGATGCGCTCTACCCGGAGTGACTTTGTCCGTGAACTGTTTCACCAGGAAGCTCTGCAGACCATATCCCACCCGCAAGAAAAGACTGCAATCATGCAGGCCCAGGTGAGCTCAAAGCCACTCCGCATGCCTAGCATGGCTAGACGTAAGAACGGACCCGCATCCCGTTTCGCTGCCCCAAGTGCCCACCCTGAAAGCGAGGAAGGGGACGAAACCGAAAGCCAAGTTGCAGGATCCAAGAGAGCCGGCAGCCGGAAGAGCGGAATGCCTTCCGGACCAGCTCAGGGAGCTGCTGGCCAGTTCCTTTCTGGCCTGGAGATTGTGAACAAATGCCTGAGCTCCTCGAACCTCAATCCCTATTTTGTCATTTGCCTCAAGCCCAATGATCGCCGCATTGCCAACCAGTTCGACAGCAAGTGTGTGCGGATGCAGGTCCAAACATTCGGTATCGCCGAAATTAGCTCGCGGCTCCGGAACGCCGATTATAGTGTCTTCCTTCCGTTTGGAGAGTTCCTTGGCCTCGCTGACATCGGGAATGTTGTGGTGGGAAGCGACCGCGAAAAGTCTGAGGTTGTTCTCGACGAAAAGCGATGGCCTGGCAACGAAGCTCGAGTCGGTAGCACCGGTGTTTTCTTGAGTGAACGGTGCTGGGCAGATATCGCCAAAGTGGGCGAGCTCGTGGTACAATCCTATGGAAATGCTGGTGCTGATGAAGGCGATGGCTTCCAAACCGCCGGTGGAAACCCGGACTCCAAACTCCGCCTTCTTCACCCCACTGACCCTTCTCCGGGTGCTTTTATTTATGGGGATGATCCCAAACAAGGCTACTTTGGTAGCCGCGAGCTGGATGGACGCTCTGATGCCGGAGGTTCCGCCTTCAATTCCGGTGATATGTTCAAGAATCTTGACACTAAAGAGCAAATGCTTGAGAAGAACAATGAAAAAAAGATGGAGGAGGTCGACGAGGCTCCAACCTCTCCAGGTCGTCGTCGTTGGATGTTCCTTGTCTATCTCCTCACATTCTTCATCCCCGATTTTGTGATCCGGTTCGTTGGGCGAATGAAGCGCAAGGACGTGCGGATTGCCTGGCGTGAAAAACTCGCTATCAACATGATCATTTGGCTCGCCTGTGGTATAGCAGTTTTCATGATTGTTGGTTTCCCTGGAGTAGTTTGTCCAACTCAGGCTGTTTTCAACACGGCAGAGCTCAGCGGTAAGAATGGTGCGGGTACAACGGACTCTTATGTTGCCATCCAAGGCGTGGTTTTCAACCTTGGAAGTTTCATGCCATCCCACTTCCCTGACGTTGTTCCCCAGAAGT